ATTGGCAAAATTCAAAAGGTGCTTTCCACCCCTGGGGGGCAGAGGGGCATTGGGCCATCCAGGTGTCCTTTGTCCCTTTGTCCCTCCCCTCCTGTCCCTGGTTGGTGGGATCCCTACCCTTTCCCTGCCCTGCCCCTTTCCCCAGGGTTAAAAGGAACAACAACCACGGAATTGGGGACTTCTGTTGGAGCTGTTGCTGCTTCCAGAGGCCTGTGGGCCAGGATAAAGCTCTGGATCCAAACCCTCCATCAGAACTGACTCCTTTTCTTCACTGTCACCTTAAAGCTTCTCTGCCAGAGGTAAACCTGAGGTAAACTCCATGAGAGGAAGCTCCATCCTGAGCTGCTGCAGGCCTGGACTTGTCTCCACGTGCCCAGCTGTCACAGATATATTTTATGAAAAATCCTTTCCTTAGATTTTTTTTCTCCTGAGAAGCTGAGAGCCTCAGAAATGAAATATAAACAATAATTATCTGCTGCTGTGGAATGCAACAGGTGCATCTTTGATTGGTCTCATGTGGTTGTCTTTAATTAATGGCCAATCACAGCCCAGCTGTCTCAGACTCTCTGGTCAGTCACAAGATTTTATTATCATTCCTTTTCAAGCCTTCTGATGAATCCTTTCTCTATTTTTTTTAGTATAGTTTTAACACATCATTCTCTTTTAACATCATATATATCATAAAATAATAAACCAGCCCTTCTGAAACATGGAGTCAAGATTCTCATCTCTTCTCTCATCCTGGGACTCCTGTGAGCCACCACCACACCCAGATGCAACATCCAGCTGGCCAAAAGTGTCTGTGGGGTGAAAATACCACACATCCAGATAGCCAAAAGTGTCTCTGGGGTGAAAACACCACACATCCAAATAGCCAAAAGTGTCTCTGGGGTGAAAACACCAAACATCCAGCTGGCCTAAAGTGTCTGTGGGGTATCCAGATAGCCAAAAGTGTCTGTGGGGTGAAACACCACACATCCAGCCAGCCAAAAGTGTCTGTGGGGTGAAAACACCACACATCCAGATAGCCAAAAGTGTCTCTGGGGTGAAAACACCACAGTTGCTGCTATTTGGTTCAGCACCAAGGGCCAGACAAGCTCAGGCATGGCAATATTGATAATTATTCCAACACCCCTTGAATTTCCACACCTCTCAGCCTCAAACTCGGCCTTCAGGGCGCCCACCTGGGCACTAAAGCCCTGCTCCAGGTATTCCAGGCGGCGGCGCTGCAGGTTCAGCAGTTGGTCCGTGAGGTCCAGGTGGCTGCTCAGGGCTCGGTTCTGCTGCTCCTCTGCCTGCTTCAGCTCCGTCACCAGCGCCTGGGGAGGTTTTGGGGAGTCATTTTTTGGGGGGCCATTTGTGTCACCTGGCACCCCCCTCTGTCACGGATATATTTTATGGAAAATCCTCTCCTTAGGATTTTTCCTCCTGAGAAGCTGAGAGGCCTCAGAAATTAAATATAAACAATGATTATCTGCTGCTGTGGAATGCAACAGGTGCATCTGTGATTGGTCTCATGTTGATTGTTTTTAATTAATGGCCAATCACAGTGAGCTGGCTCGGACTCTGGTCAGTCACAAGATTTTATTATCATTCCATTTTTTCCTTTCCTTTCAAGCCTTCTGATGAAATCCTTTCTTCTATTCTTTTAGTATAATATATATAATATATTTTAATACATATCTTATATTTATCATATATTTTTATATATATCTTATGGAAAAATAGATGATAAATATAAGATATATATATCTCATATATATAATAATCTATATCATATTGTAATATATATCTTATATTTTTAATATATAATATCCATAATACGAATATAATATATATCATAAAATAATAAATCAGCTATCCTTCTGATGAAATCCTTTCTTCTATTCTTTTAGTATAATATATACCATATATTTCAATAAATACCTTGTATTTATCATATATTTATATATATATCTTATATATATATAAATATATTATAATATTTTATGATATTATATTATATTATTTTTATCATATATAAAATATATTATAAATATAAGATATTTATCTCATAATATATATCTCATATAGTTTTTATATATCTTATATTTTTAATATATGTGGTATATATTATACTAAAAGAAAAATAATATAATATAATATAATATAATATAATATAATATAATATAATATAATATTTCAGCCTTCTGAAAATGGAGCCAAGATTTTCATCTCTTCCCTCGTCCTGGGACCCCTGTGAACACCCCCACACCCCTCCCCACCCTGCCAGCCCCAGAGCTGTGGGATTCATCTGCCCTCAGAACAGAGAGAAGGTGTGAGAAAAGCAAAGGATGTTCATTGTTTCAGGTCCAAAAATCTGAGTTTCAGGAGAAGATAAAGAGCTACTGGCTTGGTGGATTTCTAAATAGTTATTAATGATTTTCTTTAACAGTTCTCATTTCAGGATTCTGCAGGTCTGTTTCAGAATCAGGAAGGACCAGAGTGCTCCAGATTGCAAGGCAAGATGTATTTATTACCATCTGTGTGGCAGCTGTCTTTTGTCAGTGGGCAGTTTGCCTTATCTCTTCCACAATCACTCCTCCCTCAGGGGGCACATCTGCTGATAACAGCTATTGAATGTCACTGCATGGCTGATAAGAGCTACAGCATCCCATTGGGAGATGTGAGCCCAGAGGGAGGAGCCAAACATTCCTACCTGGATAGAATCTGAGATTTCAAACATTCCTACCTGGATACAATCTGAGATTGCAAACATTCCTACCTGGATACAATCTGAGATTTCAAACATTCCTACCTGGATAGAATCAGACATTTCAAACATTCCTATCTGGATAGAATCTGAGGTTTCAAACATTCCTACCTGGACAGAATCTGAGGTTTCAAACATTCCTACCCAGATATAATCCAGAGGTTTTGAGACACCAGCACAGCTTCTCCACTGGATTCCCCAGAGGAGCAGCAGCTGCCGCTTCTTCCACTGGATATTCAGAGGAAGAATAAATCCTTCTCTACAGGATCCCTGCTCCGGCAGAACCACCCCTGACACTGCAGGAGGGCTGCAGCCACAATTCCAATGGGACTGCTGCCAACACCCCACAGGGTGTCAGGTTGGGTTCTGATTCTGTCAGTGTTGTTCTAGTGTACTGCATTGTTTATTTTATCCTTTTATTTTTCTTCCCTATTAAAGAACTGTTCTGCTCCCATATTTTTTGCTTGATAGCCCCTTAATTTCAAATTTATAACAATTCAGAGGGAGGGGGTTCCCATTTTCCATTTAGGGGAGGCTCCTGCCTTCCTTAGCACCCATTTGTCTTTCCAAACCAAGACAAACTGTTATCCCTGCTCCCATATTTTTTGCCTGACAGCCCCTTAATTTCAAATTTATAGTAATTCAGAGGGAGAGGGTTTACATTCTCCATTTCAGGGGAGGCTTCTGCCTTCCTTAGCACACACCTGTCTTCCCAAACCAAGACAACCAGGAATGTCACAGACCAACATCTCCAGGGAATGAACCTCCTCCTGACACTCAGCTGTTTGGATTGAAACCATGAACGTTCTCACAGCTTCTCCCTGTTCAGAGGGCCTGTGAAGAGCACCCAGAGTCACCTCAATGGTGCCATCCTTGCAGTCCATGACCCTTGAGAACGTCTGGCTGAGGATCTCAATGTCCTGGCGCAGCTCTTTGTCCTTGGCCTTGCGTTGGGCCGAGCGCCAGAGCGTCCGGACCTTGTGGAGACCCCAGAGGCTGCTCTGCTCCTCCCGCCTCAGCTTCTCCTGTGGAGGGGGAATGGGAGGTGGGAAAGGGGCAGGAAGGGCTTTGGGGTGCCTCTGCTATCTGGGGGTGCAGCAGAACGGGCACAGCCCCAGCCCTGGTGGGGATGATGGGGAAAGCTCTTGAGAAATTTGCTGGAGAAAAGGGGTTTGGGGGGCTTAAAGGGTGGAGTTTGGAGGGGATCAGGGGAGGCTGCAGTGGCTCAGCTTCTCCTGTGGAGGAGGAATGGGAGGTGGGAAAGGGGCAGGAAGGGGTTTGGGGTGCCTCTGCTATCTGGGGGTGCAGCAGAACAGGGGCAGCCCCAGCCCTGGTGGGGATGATGGGGAAATTTGCTGGGGAAAAGAGTTTGGGGGGCTTAAAGGGTGGAGTTTGGAGGGGATCAGGGGAGGCTGCAGTGGGGTCCCAGACCTGCATGAAGCGGGTGAGCAGCGCCCTCTTGACTTTGGCCTGCTCCTCCTCAACCAGCGCTTGTCTCTGCAGCAGCAGCAGCTCGGCCTCGGCCGACGTGGGGGCACTGAGCTGGGACCTCGCCATGGCTGGAGGAGGGGACAGGGCAGGAGGGGTTGGGGTGTGCGTGGTGACCGCTCCAGGGCCCCCACCACGGCCTGTTCCCCCTGCCCAGCCCCGTGCACTATGGGGTACCCCACACCCCATAACCTTCTGCCTCCCTCCCCAGACTCCCCCAGATCCGTTTCCTTGCCCCTCCACTTCAGAGCACCCCCAGACCCCACCAACCCCTTCTGGCCCCCTCTCCCCTCCCAGGGACCCCCCCAGACCTGTCCCCACCTCCCTCCCCAGGCCCCAGGGCCCATTTCCCTCTGCCCATCCCCACTTCCAGAGCCCTCCTAGCTCACCCCTATCTCCCTCCCACGCTCCCCCAGCCCCCACCGCCCCTTCCAATGGGGCCTCTCCCCCCCCAAATCTGGGGTCCCCCCGGTACCTGCCCCGGTCCCGGCCCGCGCGTCCCTCCGGTCTCCCGGCAACGGCCGCTGAGGGGGCGGGGCCTCCGCGGCACTTCCGCCCTGACCCGCGCGGGCGCCCCCTGGCGGCCAAGAGCGCGCTCGCACCCCCCCACGGGGCGTGTCCCGCCCGTTCTGCTTCTTCGCTATTGGCCGGCCCTCCGGGATTCCCCGCGCTGATTGGCTGGCGGCAGCCGCCGTGGGCGGGCCCTGCAGGCGGCGGGGTATATAGTGGCGCTGCGGCGGCGGGGCGCAGGGCGGTGGGTGGGTGCGAGCGCGGGGGAGCCGTGCGCGCCGCCGCCATGCGGGAGCGGAGGCCGGCACCGGCCGCCCCGGCCCGGTGCAAGCTGGTGCTGGTGGGGGACGTGCAGTGCGGCAAGACGGCCATGCTGCAGGTGCTGGCCAAGGATTGCTACCCTGAGGTGAGCCTAGAACGGCAGCGGGCGCCGGTAAAGCGGGACCGAACGGGGCGCTGACGCTCTCGGTGCCGTTGCAGACGTACGTGCCCACCGTGTTTGAGAACTACACGGCGTGTCTGGCCAGCGAGGAGCAGCGGGTGGAACTGAGCCTCTGGGACACCTCCGGTACCGGGGGGAGACACGCACGGTGCATGTTTGGGGGGCTGGCGGGGGCTCCGGTACCGGGGGAGTGCGGCGGGGGCTGCCCCGGCCCTGATCGGGGAAGGTGCTTTGGGCTTTTGGGGGGTCGCGGTTGGGATGCTGCAGTGAGCGGGGGGTCCCTGCAGTGGGGGTGTTTTGGCGTCCCGAGGGTGTTTTGGGGACCTGCAGCGCGGGAGGGACTTTGGTGGCCCTGTTGGGGTCTCGGGGGTGTTTTGGGGGGCCGGTGTGTTTTGGGGTCCCTGCGGCTGCAGAGGGCGCTTGGTGCCCGCACTTGGGGGGGGGTTCAGTTTAGGGTCATACCCGTGGGTTTAGGGGAGCAGGCACTCCCCAGGGACCGACCCCACGGTCACAGGGGGGGTCAGGAATTGGGGGGGGGTCCCAGGAGGCTGAACCCCTCCTTTGGGGGGGGGTCCCCACACCGCTGAGCCCCCCCGAGTGGGTCCTGCCTGTGAATGAGGCGGATTTATGGGGACACCCCGCTGTTCCCCGTCCCTGGGCACCCCCAGTATTTGGCGGGGGGGTCGGGGCAGCCCTGCCCGGTGCTGCAGTGTCCCCCCCGGTGTGGAGGGGGGGTCCCCGCCGGTCCCCGGTTGCCATGGCGATGCGCTGGCGCAGCCTCTTTGCTATTCCGTGCACGGAGCGTCTGGGCTGCCAAACCCCTCCGAGGCCTTTTGGGGGGGCCGGGGGGGGTGTGTGGGGGGGACATCCCAGAGCCCCCCACCCCATTAACCCCCCCCCTCCCATTCCCGCACCCCCTCCCCGCACCGCGATCCCCGCAGTCCCCGGTGCGGTGCTGGCGGCTCCGTGTCCCCGGGGACCCCGAGGGGGGTGACAGCGTGTGACACCCCCTCCTCTGGCTCCCCCCCTACCCCGAGACCCCCTCGGTGCTCCCCAAAATGGGAGGGGGGGCGGGGGGGTTGTTACATAAACAGCGCGGGCTCCATTTCCCGCTGCCTGGCCAAGGCGCGATGCGACGCGGATGGGGCTGCGGGCACGGAGGTGGCGATTTGGGGGGGTTCCGGAGCTGTGCTCCTTTTGGGGGGCTCTGTCCCTTTTGGGGGGCTCTGGAGCCGTGTCCCTGTGTCCTTCTTGGGGTTCTCTAGAGCTGCGAGCCACCACCCTGAGCAGGAGGGGAGCTGTGTTTGTTTTGGGGGAGCTCTGTGTCTTTTGGGGGTCTCTAGAGCTGTGTCCCCACCCCGGGCAGGATTAGGGTCTGTCCGTCTTGGAGGGCTCTAGAGCTGTGTGTCCGTCTGTCCCTTTTGGGGAGCTGTGGCTTTTCTTGGGGACTCTGTGCCTTTTGGGGAGCTGTGTCCGTTTTGGGGATCTCTAGAGCCGTGTCCTCACCGTGGGTAGGAATCAGGCTGCGTCTGTTTGGGGGGGCTGTGTCCCTTTTGGGGAGCTGTGTCTGTTTTAGGGGCTGTGTCCCTTTTGGGAGGCTCTAGAGCTGTGTCTCCGTCTGTCCCTTTTGGGGAGCTCTGTGCCTTTTGGGGAGCTCTGTCTCTTCTGGGGTCTCTAGAGCTGTGTCCTCACTGTAGGTAGGAATCAGGCTGTGTCTATTTTGGGGGGGCTGTGTCCCTTTTGGGGGGCTCTAGAGCTGTCTGTCCCTTTTGGGGAGCTGTGTCTTTTCTTGGGGGCTCTGTGCCTTTTGGGGAGCTGTGTCCGTTTTGGGGGGCTCTGTGCCTTTTGGGGTCTCTAGAACTGTGTCCCCACCGTGGGTAGGAATCAGGATTTGTCTGTTTTGGGGGGCTCTGTCCTTTTTGGGGGGCTCTGGAGCTGTGTCCCTGTGTCCTTCTTGGGGTTCTCTAGAGCTGCGAGCCACCACCCTGAGCAGGAGGGGAGCTGTGTCCGTTTTGGGGGGCTCTGTGCCTTTTGGAGGGCTCTAGAGCTGTGTGTTCGTCTGCCCCTTTTGGGGAGCTCTGTCCCTTTTGGGGTCTCTAGAGCTGTGCCCCCACCCCGGGCAGGAATGAGGTTGTGTCCCTTTTGGGGGTCTCTGGAACTGTGTGTCCGTCTGTCCCTTTGGGGAGCTGTGTCTTTTCTTGGGGGCTCTGTGCCTTTTGGGGAGCTGTGTCCCTTTTGGGGGACTCTGTCCCTTTTGGGGGACTCTAGAGCTATGTCCCCACTTGAGACAGTAATGGGGCTGTGTCTGTTTTAGGGGCCTTGTCCCTTTTGGGGTTCTCTAGAGTCATGTCCCCATCCCAGTAAGGCTGAGGGGCTGTGTCTGCTTTAGGGGCTGTGTTCATTTTGGGGGGCTCTGTCCCTTTTGGGGTCTCTAGAGCTGTGCCCCCACCTGAAGTATGAATGGGGCTGTGTCCCTTTTGGGGGGCTCTAGAGCTGGGTGTCTGTCTGTCCCTTTTGGGGAACTGTGTCTTTTTTGGGGGGGCTCTGTGCATTTTGGGGAGCTGCGTCCGTTTTGTGGGGCCTTGTCACTTTTAGGGTCTCTAGAGCTGTGCCCCCACTCTGGCAGGAATGGGGCTGTGTCCCTTTTGTGGGGCTCTAGACCTGTGCCCCCACCCCAGTCAGGACAGGGGGCTGTGTCTGTTTTAGAGGCTCTGCCCCTTTTGGGGGGCTTTGTCCCTTTTGGGGTCTGTAGAGCCATGCCCCCACCCCGAGCAGGAATGGGGCTGTGTCTGTTTTGGGGGGCTCTGTCCCTTTTGGGGGTTTCTATACCCGTGCTCCTACCCCAGTCTGGATGTGGGTCTGCTCTGTCTCTCTTGGGGGGGGGGTCTCTGTCTCTTTTGGGGGGCTCTGTCCCTTTGGGGCTCTCTATACCCTTACCCCCACCCCATTTCGGATGGGGGGGTCTCTCTCCTTTTTGGGGTCTCTAGAGCTGTGTCCCCGCCCTGGGCAGGAACGGTGCTCTGTCTCTTTTGGGTGTGCTGTATCTCTTTTTGGGGGCTCTGTCCCTTTGGGGCTCTCTATACCCTTACCCACACCCCATTTTGGACGGGGGGGCTCTGTCCCTTTCCCAGCCCCCCTTTCCCGTGTCCCGGGGCTGGGGGGGCTGATCGGTGTCCCCCCCTTTTCCCCAGGCTCCCCCTACTATGACAACGTGCGGCCCCTGTGCTACAGCGACTCGGACGCCGTCCTGCTCTGCTTCGATGTCAGCCGGCCTGAGACCCTCGACAGCGCCACCAAGAAGGTGGGGAGGGGGCTCAGACCCCGGGATGGCGTCCCTGGGGGGGTTGGGGGGCTCAGGGATGTGGGGACACTGATGCTGTGGGGTTTGGGGGCATAGAGATGTGGGGACACCAGCCTGAGAGGTTCCTGTGGGGTTTGGGAGCTCAGGGATGTGGGGACATTCAGCTGGCCTAAGACCCTCGACAGCACCACCAAGAAGGTGGAGAGGGGGCTCAGACCCTGGGACGGCGTCCCTGGGGGGGTTTGGGGGCTCACCAATGTGAGGACACCAGCCTGGGGGGGGTCCCTGTGGGGTTTGGGGGGGCTCAGAGATGAGGAGACACTGATGCTGTGGGGTTTGGGGGGCTAAGAGATGAGGGGACACCAGCCCGAGGGGTCCCTGTGAGATCTGGGGGCTCAGGGATGTGGGGACACCAGCCTGAGGGGTCCCTGTGGGGTTTGGGGGGCTCACAGACACAGACCACTGACTCTGTGGGGTTTAGGGGTTCAGAGTTGTGGGGACACCCATGCAGGGGGGTCCCTGTGGGGGTTGGGGGGCTCAGAGATGCAGGGACACTGATGCTGAGGGGTTTGGGGGCTCACAAATGTGGGGACACCAGCCTGAGGGGTCCCTGTGGGGTTTGGGGGGTTCAGGGATGTGAGGACAATGTCCGGTGGGTACCTCTATGGTGTCTGGGGGGTTCCTGTGGGTATCTCTGTGGGGTTTGGGGGGTTCCTGTGGGTATCTCTGTGGGGTTTGGGGCGTTCCTGAGGTTGTCTCTGTGGGTTTTGGGGGGCTTCTGTGGGGTTTGGGAGGTTCAGGGATATGAGGACACTGTCCTGAGCGTATCTCTGTGGGGTTTGGGGGGTTCAGGGATGTGAGGACAATGTCCGGTGGGTACCTCTATGGGGTCTGGGGGGTTCCTGTGGGTATCTCTGTGGGGTCTGGGAGGTTCCTGTGGGTGTCTCTGTGGGCTCAAGGCTGCCGTACGGAGACACCACCCCCATGGGGGTGACAGGGCGAGGCTTTTGGGGTGTCCCCTGTCCCTGAGAGGTGCCCTGCCCCCTCAGTGGAAGACAGAAATCCTGGATTATTGCCCCAACACGCGCGTGCTGCTCATCGGCTGCAAGACGGACCTGAGGACAGACCTGAGCACGCTGCTGGAGCTCTCGCACCAGAAACAGGCGCCCATCTCCTACGAGCAGGTCTGGGGGGGCCCCGAGGGTCTGGGGAGACCCCGGTGGCTGTGGGGGGTGGAATTGGGGTGTCCCAGTGGTCTGGTTTGGGGGGTGGTCCTGGTGTTTGCGCAGGGCTCAGTTTGGGGTGGTCTTGGTGGCTTTGGGGATGATTTTTGGGGTGTCCCAGTGGTTTGATGTGGGGGTGGGTTTTGGGGGGATCCTGGTGTTTGCACAGGGCTCAGTTTGGGGTGGTCCTGGTGGTTTTGGGGATCCCAGTGTTTTTAGGGTGTCCCAGTGGTCTGATATGGTTTTGGGGTGTCCTGGTGTTTTTTGGGGTTGATTTTTTGGGGTGTCTCAGTGGTCTGACATGGGGGTAGTTTTGGGGGGGTGCTGGTGTTTGCACAGGGCTCAGTTTGGGGTGTCCCAGTGTCTGTGATATGCCTGGTGTGTTTGTTGTGCCCCCATGGCTTTGGGGCTCACTTTGGGATATCCCAATGTGTTTGGGGCTCAGTTTGGGCTGTCCCAGTGTGTTTGGGATAACCCAGTGGGTTTGGGGCTCAGTTTGAGATATCCCAATGACTTTGGGCTGTCCTGGTGGGTTTGAGTTGTCCCCATGGGTTTGTGGGGCTCACTTTGGGATATCCCAGTGGGTTTGGGGCTCAGTTTAGGATATCCAGGTGTGTTTGGGGCTGTCCCGATGGATTTGGAATCTCCCAATGATTTTGGGGTGTCCTGGTGTTTGTAGGGCTCACTTTGGGATATCCCAAAGACTTTGGCCTGTCCCAGTGTTTGTGGGGGTGGGTTTGGGATATCCTGGTGGGTTTGAGGTGTCCCTGTGTTTGCACAGGGCTCAGATTGGGTTCTCCTGGTGTTTGTGGGGCTCACTTTGTGCTGTCCCGATGGGTTTGGGGCTCAGTTTGGGATATCCTGGTGGGTTTGGGTTGTCCTGGTGTTTGTGTGGCTCAGTTTGGGGCTCTCCCAGTGGATTTGGGATATCCCAATGACTTTGGGCTGTCCCCATGGGTTTGGGGCTCAGTTTGGGATATCCCTGTGGGTCTGGGGCTGTCCCCGTGGATTTGGGATATCCCAGTGGGTTTGGGGCTCAGTTTGGGATATCCTGGTAGATTTGGGGCTGTCCTGATGGGTTTGGGGCTCAGTTTGGGACATCCCAGTGTGTTTGTGCTGTCCCCATGGGTTTGTGGGGCTCACTTTGGGCTGTCCCTGTGTTTGTGGGGCTCACTTTGGGATATCCCAGTGGATTTGAGATATCCCAATGACTTTGGGCTGTCCTAATGTTTGTGGGTGTGGGTTTGGGGTGTCTTGGTGTTTGTGGGGCTCACTTTGGGCTGTCCTGATGTGTTTGGGGCTCACTTTGGGATATCCCAATGACTTTGATCTGCCCCGATTTTTGGGATATCCCAATGACTTTGGGCTGTCCCGGTGGCTTTGGAGGGTGTACCCATGGGTTTGTGGGGCTCACTTTGGGCTGTCCCAATGTTTGTGGGGCTCACTTTGGGATATCCCAATGACTTTGGGCTGTCCTGATGGGTTTGGGGCTCAGTTTAGGATATCTCTGTGGGTTTGGGGCTGTCCTGGTGGATTTGGGATGTCTCCCAATGACTTTGGGCTGTCCCAATGTGTTTGGGGCTCACTTTGGGATATCCCAGTGGATTTGAGATATTCCAATGACTTCGGGCTGTCCCAGTGTTTGTGGGGTTGGGTTTGGGGTGTCTCGGTGTTTGTGGGGCTCACTCTGGCTGTCCTGGTGGGTTGGGCTGTCCCGATGGGTTTGGGGCTCAGTTTGGGATATCCAGGTGGGTTTGGACTGTCCTGATGGGTTTGGGATAGCCCAGTGGGTTTGGGGCTGTACCAGTGGATTTGGGATATCCTGGTGGGTTTGTGGCTCAGTTTAGGATATCCCAATGACTTTGATGTGTCCCGATTTTTGGGATATCCCAATGACTTTGGGGCTGTCCTGATGGGTTTGTGGGGCTCACTTTGGGCTGTCACAGTGGGTTTGGGCTGTCCCAATGGGTTTAGGGCTCAGTTTAGGATATCCTGATGGCTTTGGGCTGTCCTGATGTTGGGGCTGTCCCGGTGGATTTGGGATATCTCCCAATGACTTTGGGCTGTCCCAATGTATTTGGGGCTCAGTTTGGGCTGTCCCAGTGGGTTTGGGGCTCAGTTTAGGATATCCCAATGACTTTGGGCTGTCCTGATGTTTGGGATATCCCAGTGGGTTTGGGGGGTGTCCCCATGGGTTTATGGGGCTCACTTTGGGATATCCCAATGACTTTGATCTGTCCTGATTTTTGGGATATCCCAATGACTTTGGGCTGTCTCAATGGGTTTGGGGCTCAGTTTAGGATATCCCGTGGATTTGGGGCTGTCCCGGTGTTTGTTTTATCCTGATGGGTTTGGGGCTCAGTTTGGGATATGCCGGTGGGTTTGGGGCTGTCCTGGTGTTTGTAGGGGTGGATTTGGGATATCTCGGTGGGATTGGGCTGTCCCAGTGGGTGTGTGGGGCTCAATTTTGGGCTGTCCCGATGGATTTGGATTATCCCAATGACTTTGGGCTGTCCCAGTGTTTGTGGAGGTGGGTTTGGGGTGTCTTAGTGTTTGTGGGGCTCACTTTGGGATATCCCAATAACTTTGATCTATCCTGATTTTTGGGATATCCCAATGACTTTGATCTATCCCGATTTTTGGGATATCCCAATGACTTCGATCTGTCCCAGTGGATTTGGGATATCCCAATGACTTTGATCTGTCCCGATTTTTGGGATATCCCAATGACTTTGATCTGTCCCGATTTTTGGGATATCCCAATGACTTTGGGGCTGTCCCGATGGATTTGGGATATCTTGGTGCATTTGGAATATCCCAATGACTTGGATCTGTCCCGATTTTTGGGATATCCCAATGACTTTGATCTGTCCCAGTGGATTTGGGATATCCCAATGACTTTGATCTATCCCAGTTTTTGGGATATCCCAATGACTTTCATCTATCCCGATTTTTGGCATATCCCAATGACTTTGATCTATCCTGATTTTTGGGATATCCCAATGACTTCGATCTGTCCCGATTTTTGGGATATCCCAATGACTTTGGGCTGTCTCAATGGGTTTGGGGCTCAGTTTAGGATATCCCGGTGGGTTTGGGGCTGTCCCCGTGGATTTGGGATATCCCAACGACTTTGATCTATCCCGATTTTTGGGATATCCCAATGACTTCGATCTGTCCCGATTTTTGGGATATCCCAATGACTTTGGGGCTGTCTCAATGGGTTTGGGACTCACTTTGGGATATTCCAATGACCTTGACCTACCCCCCTACCTGACTCCCCGCTCTTAGGGCTGCGCGGCCGCCCGGCAGTTGGGAGCCGAGGGTTACCTGGAGTGTTCGGCCTTCACCTCGGAGAAGAGCGTGCACAGCATCTTCCGCGCCGCGTCCGGGCTGTGCCTGAGCAGCGCCGCCCCGCAGCCTCCGCGCAGCCCCGGGCGCGGCCTCTCCAAGCGCCTCCTGCACCTCCCCAGCCGCTCCGAGCTCATCTCCTCCACCTTCAAGAAGGAAAAAGCGAAAAGCTGCTCCGTCATGTGAAGGGGGGAAGGGATTCACACACACACAAACACACACAGAGCCCCCTTTCCCGCTCCCATCCCAAATTTGGGAAGCCCCCCCGTCCCCCCCCAAGTGCACAGAATGGGATCTGGAGAGGCTGGGGAGGGATTGGGGTGCTGCCCTTGCCCTGGGAGGGGAGGGCTTCACCCGGTTCCCAACCCTGAGGGGGTCCCTGGGGGGTTTGGGGTGCTCAGACCCTCAGAAACATCAGCTGGGATGATCCTGGTGGGGTGTTTGGGGTGCACAGGATCCTGGTGACACCAACCCAGGGGGGTCCCTGTGGGGTTTGGGGTGCTCAGAACCTCAAGGACATCAACCCTGGGGGGTTTGGGGTGCACAGGACCCTGGGGACATCAACCCTGAGAAGGTTTGGGGTGCACAGGACCCTGAGGAAACCAACCCAGAGGGGTCCCTGGGGAGTTTGGGGTACACAGGACCCTGGGGACATCAGTCCTGGTTGTTTTGGGGCGCTCAGACCTTCAAGGACATCACCCCAGTGGGGTTTGGGGTGCACAGACCTTCAGGGACATCACCTGGGATAGTCCCTGTGGGGTTTGGGGTGCACAGGACCCTATGGACACCCACCCAGAGGGGTCTCTGGGGGATTTGGGGTGTTCAGGACCCTGGGGACACCAATCCAGGAGGGTTCCTGGGGCTGGGTGGGGTTTGGGAGGTCCCCCCCCAGCTCTAAAGGGGGGTTTGGGGTGCTGCCCTTGCCCTGAGAGGGGGGTTTGGGGAGGGCTTCACCCGGCTCCCAACCCTGAGGGGGTTCCTGTGGGGTTTGGGGTGCTCAGACCCTCAGGGACATCAACCTTGGGGGATTTGGGGTGCACAGGACCCTGGGGACACCAATCCAGGGGGTTTTGGGGTGCTCAGACCTTCAAGGACATAAACCCTGTGGGGTTTGGGGTGCTCAGACCCTCAGGAACATCACCTGGGATGGTTCTTGTGGGGTTTGGGGTGCACAGGACCCTGGGGAAACCAAACCAGAGGTGTCCCTGGGGGGTTTGGGACACACAGGACCATGGGGACATCAACCCAGTGGGGTTTGGGGTGCACAGGATCCTGAGTAAACCAATCCAGAGAGGTCCCTGTGGGGTTTGGGGTGCACAGGACCCTGAGGACACCAATCCTGGGGGGTTTGGGTTGTCAGGTACATCACCTGGGATGGTCCTTGTGGGGTTTGGGGGACACAGGGATGCCATCCCGGGGATCCCTGTGGGGTTTGGGGTGCACAGGACCCCATGGACACCAACCCAGAGGGGTCCTTGTGGGGTTTGGAGTGCTCAGACCCTCCGGGACATCACCTGGGATGGTCCCTGTGGGGTTTAGGGGACACAGGGACACCGTCCCGGGGATCCCTGTGGGGTTTGGGGTGCACATCATGGGACTCATCCATGGCCTCATCCTGTTCTCTCCCCCTTCCCCCCATCCCTCATCTGCTGCTTGGCCCTGGGGGACCCTGTGGGTTGGGGAGGGGGGAGGGGAGGCTGTTTTATGGACTGTATTTTGGGGAGGGGGGATATGGGGGGGTGTCTCTGTTCCATGTCAGTGTTATTAAAAAAAGCTTATTTATTATCAGAAATATAACACCTACCTATGTGCAGCCCTGCCTGGCCCTGTGCTTTGGGGCGGGATTTTGTGTTTTGGAGGCTTTTGGGATGTTTTGGTGTCACCGCTGATGGTGACATTGATGTGATCGGGGCGTCTTTTGGGGAGGGGGGTGCCAAAAGAGTCCCCCCACTTCTTCTGCCCCCACATTCTGCCTGGGACCCCCTGATCTTGTGAATAGGAGGGTGAGGCTCCTGCAGGGACACTGATCTGGGAGTCCCTGGTGAGTTTGGGGTGCTTGGAGCTGCTGATCTGGAGGGGTCCCCGGGAGATTTGGGGTGTGCAGGGACATGGGGGACACTGACTCGGGAGGGTCTCTCCAGGCTTTGAGGTGCTCTAGGCCGTGGGGACCTCATTTGGGTGAGCAGGAGGTGCCTGCGGGCTGTGGGGGACTCAGGGACACGGGGACACCGTCCCGGGGGACTCTTTGCCGTGGGGAGGGGGGAGTTGCCGCGCGGCGGAAGGATCGCGGGGCGCGGCGGCACTGCGGCCGCGCAGGGGCGCCGGGAGCGCGCGGGGGATGCCGGGAGCTGTAGTCCGATGCCGCGAGGGCTGCCGGGAGCTGTAGTCCCGCGCCGTCCCGGTAAGCCCCGCGGGCCCGGCAGACATGGCGGCGGAGCGGCGGCGCTGAACGCGGGGCTGCGGCGGTGAGCGGGAACCGGCGGCAGCGAGCGGGGGGCACTGCAGGGAGAGAGCGAGGGGCCCGGGGGCTGCAGAGCCGTGGTGCCGCGGCACCGGGCCGAGCCCCGGTACTGGGTACCAGCGGCAGGGCCTGGCGCGCCGTTGCGCCGCGTCCCCCGGGCCTCACAGAGCCTTTCCGGGGTCCCTCAGGGCTCCCTGCATTCACTCCCGGGGGCTCCCTGTGCCCTCTCGGGGTCCCCCTTTCCCTCTTCCTGCTCTCCTCGGGGCCTTCCAGCTCTTCCCGCTCTTTGCTGGGGTCCCTCTGTGCCCTTTCGGGGGTCCCCCAGTTCCCTCCCTCACTCCTGAGGGTTCCCTTGCTCTCTCTCTGGGTTCCCTCTCCTTCCTGAGGGTCCCTTTCCTCTCTTCCCGCTCCTGAGGGTCCCTTTTCTCTCTCCTTCCTCCTGAGGGTCCCTTTGCGCTCTCTCTGGGTTCCCCACTCCCTCCTGAGGGTCCCTTTTCTCTCTTCCCCCTCCTGAGGGTCCCTTTTCTCTCTTCCCCCTCCTGAGGGTCTCTCTGTGCTCTCCCCGGGTCCCCCTCTCCCTCCTGAGGGTCCCTTTTCTCCATTCTCCTGAGAGTCCCTTTTCTCTCTTCCCCCTCCTGAGGGTCCGTTTTCTCTCTTCCCCCTCCTGAGGGTCCGTTTTCTCTCTTCCCCCTCCTGAGGGTCCCTTTTCTCTCTCCTTCCTCCTGAGGGTCCCTTTGCGCTCTCCCCGGGTCCCCCTCTCCCTCCTGTGGGTCCCTTTTCTCTCTCCATCCTCCTGAAGGTCCCTTTTCTCTCTCCATCCTCCTGAAGGTCCCTTTTCCCTCATCCCGGTGTCCCCCAGCTCTCCCTGCTTCTTCTCGGCGTTTTTCCCTCCCCGGCTCCTTTGACATCTCCCCGTTCCCTCCTGGTGCTCTCTCAGCCCTCCCCACTCCTTCTTGGGGTCCCTCTCTTCCCTCACAACCCCTCTCTCTCCCTCTTGCACCCCAATTTCCCTCCCGGTCTCCCCTCTGACCCTCCTGGTGTTTCCCTCCCCACAGATGGCCGGAGAAGTGGCGGACAAGAAGGATCGGGACGCATCCCCGGTGAAGGAGGAGAGGAAACGTTCCCGCTCTCCGGAACGGGACCGGGAACGGGACCGGGAGCGCAAGGGCTCCCCCCCGGCCAAGGAACGGAAGCGCCACCGATCCCGGGAGCGCCGGAGGAGCCGATCCCGATCCCGGTCCCGCTCCAAGTCCACAGAGAGGTGAGGCAGCTGTGATTTGGGAAGAGCTTTGATGGATTTGTCAGTGGGAAATAAAAAGTTGTGAGGGGAGGAGAAGTGCCGTGAAGGTTTTGTATTGATAATTCATAAATATATATCATTATATTAATAAATATAATGATATATATTATAAAATTATTATATTAATAAATATATTACTGTTAATATATTTTTCTTTATGCTCTTTTAAATGTGTATAAAAAATTGTTAACAGTATTTATTTGCTTTAAAGAGGGTATAAAGAAACATTTATTAACAGCATTTATTTATTTTAAAGAGAGTGTAAAGAAAAAATTATTAACAGTATTTATTTATTATAAAGAACAATTTATTAACAGTATTAATTTATTTTAAAGAGGGTATAAAGAGGTTCCCTTTTAAAATTTTGAGCCTGCTCTGCCTTCTTCCTCACCCTGCCCCACAGCAGGAATTGAGTGCCCTGGGGATTGGGCAGCACTGAGCCCACCACACTCACTGCTGCACTGGCCAGGAAATCTCAAAATAACCAAATCTCAAATTTATCCCTGTGGTTTGGAAGAGCTTTGATGGCTTTGTCAGTGGGAAATAAAAAGTTGTGAGAGGAGAAGAAATATTGTAAAGATTTTGTTATGATTCTTAATACTCTTTATTTTAGTTACTAAATTTTTCTTTATACCCTCTTAAAAGGATATAAAGAAAAAATTATTAACAGTGTTTATTTATTTTAAAGAGGGTATAAAGAAAAATTTATTAACTGTATTTATTTGTTTTAAAGAGGATATAAAGAGGCTCCTTTTTAAAATTTTGAGCCTGCTCTGCCTTCTTCCTCACCCTGCCCCACAGCAGGAATTGAGTGCCATTGGGATTGGGCAGCACTGAGCCCACCACAGGAAATCTCAAAACCATCCAAATCTCAAACTGACAAACCAAAACCACTGCAGAGGGTGGGTGAGGGCTGTGGGGCCAGGCTGTGACCCCCCCTGTGGGGCTGTGACCCCCCTGTCCCACAGGGATCGGCGGCACAAGGAGCGGGACCGGGAGCGCAGCAAGAAGGAGCGGGACAGGGACAAGGATGGGCACCGGAGGGACAAGGACCGTAAGCGGTCCAGGTGGGTCCTGTCACTTTTTTGGGGGGTTCCTGCTCTCCCCTAAATCCCCTGGAGGTTTGGGATCCCCCAGGGCTGTGCTTGGTGTCTTATTCCTGGTGCTGTTTCCCTTGGAAGTTTGTCCCCGGGCAGGGGGAAGGACTCCAAGTCTCGGAAGGATCGGGAGGCAAGGAAAGCAGAGGAAGAGGAGGAAAATGCCCTGAAGAAGGAGAAGGTGAGGAGGGGGCGGATGGGGCTTGGATGGAAGGGGCTCCAGATCCTTGGGGAATAGTTCCAGGGGATTCAAGTCCCCAGGAGTGATTCCAAGGGATCCAGGTCGCTGGGGAGTGGTTCCAGGGGACTCAGGACCCCAGGAGTGGTTGCAGGGGGATCCAGGTCCCCAGGAGTGATTCCAAGGGATCCAGGTCCCCAAGAGTGGTTGCAGGGGGATCCAGGTCCCCAGGAGTGATTCCAAGGGGATTCAGGATCCCAGGAGGGGATCCAGGGGGATCCAGGTCCCTGAGGAGGGGATCCAGGGGGATTCAGGTCCCTGGGGAGGGGATCCACGGGATTCAGGTCCCCACGAGTTCCAGGGGGATCTAGATCCCTGGGGTGTGGCTCCAGGTCCCCGGGGAGTGGCTCCAGGGGGGGTCCAGGTACCTGGGGAGTGATTCCAAAGGATTCAGGTTCCCAGGAGTGATTCCAGGGGGATCCAGATCCCCAGGAGTGGCTCCAGAGGGATTCAGGACCCAAGGAGTGGCTCCAAGGGATCTCGGTCCCTGAGGAGTGATTCCAAGGGATTCAGGTCCCCAGGAGTGGTGCTGACATCTGACCTCACTTGCAGGCACAGCCGCTGTCCTTGGAGGAGCTGCTGGCAAAGAAGAAGGCAGAAGAGGAGGCAGAAGCCAAGGTGGGAGAAGGAACAGGAGCCTCTTCCCTCTGCTGGGGGTGTGGATGTTTGTGGGGACCCCAGGAGGGGACAGGGAGGGCTGAGAAACTTGGGGATGCAGAGGGAGCCCAGAAGGAAGCAGGGAGTGCCAGGCGACACCGGGAGGGATCGTGGGATGGAGAAGGGAGGGTTGGGGGACTTAGGGGGCACATGGGGTGCTGTGGAGACAGGGGAGGCCTGGTGGACCCCCAGGAGGGAGCAGAAGGACTTGGGAGGGAAGAGGGAAAGGTGAGGGGCACAGAGGGGAGGGAGGGGACACAGGGAGGGAGCAAAGAGAGCCCTGGCAGGGAGTGGACAAGTCTTAGGGATCCAGAGAGGGACAGGAGGGAAAGGGGAGGCCTGGGGGCCCCAGGAAGGAGCAGAGAAGGCTGAGGGGACCCTCAGCAGCCCAGGGAGTGGCAGGCAGGCCCAGTGTGACATTTCCTCTCTCCCATCCCAGCCCAAGTTCCTGTCCAAGGCAGAGAGGGAGGCTGAGGCCCTGCGGCGGCGGCAGCAGGAGGTGGAGGAGCGGCAGCGGCTGCTGGAGGAGGAGAGGAAGAAGAGGAAACAATTCCAGGAGATGGGCAGGAAGATGCTGGGTAAGGACTCATCCCTGGAGCCCCCCACCCAGCCCTGGGGGTGGGTGCTGGCTCTGAGCCCCTTCCCCTGCTCCCCAGAAGACCCC